AGCATGATTACCAGTGAGAAAGGTAATATTAAAGATCATGGGTGGGATGAGTGTGCTTCAGCATTCAGCAATGAAATTGCTCTGTGTACCCAAATTCAATAAGAGTGTTTTTTTCTAAAATCGAAGCTGGATATATTATGTATCAGCAACATTAATAGATTAAATGATTACCAGACAGTGGTGGGAGTTACAAAACTGACTGTTGTTCTCCAGAAAAACTTAATAAGCTGTGTTGTTTTGGGGAGGGCCTTTGATCTGCCTGCTATGCTTCTCAAATCCAAAAAGTAGATGAACCTATGTTGTCTCTTACTGAACTGCCTGGAAATCGACACCCTGCTGAAAGATGTGGGAAAATCATAAGAGAAAAGGTCCAAGATGGCCTGGCCTCTTTTCTCTTTGTAGTATATTTCAAGCATGTTTGTAACATTCCTCTGGATGCAAATATTTAAATGCAAAATATTTTGATTTGTGGTGGATTTATTTCTTTAAAACAAGTCTTGCTTAAGCCCTGTATGAAGTCTATATGAACTTCAAGTGTATTAAGAACTCCAGTAAAATCTTGAGTACTGTCTCACAGCCAAACAGCCTGTGAAAATCTCTCAGGTTTAGTTTCCCCATTGCTAGTCTGGAATGACAGCTTGGACAGAAGAAAGTGGGAGGGGAGTGCATTACCCTCTTGCTGTAAGTTGCAGGTCCCATTATTTCTCTGTGTCTCAGCAAGATCTCTCAGATCCTGGAAAAATTCAGGACAATTTCCCAAAAGCACTGAGTATCAGCAGCCACTGTGACCTGTAAACATCGCTTTCGTAGCACTGGCCTCAAGATGAGCTCTCAGCAGTGTGACTACAGGCACTAATGCACATTGCAGTTCCCTTTCCCAATTCAGCAGACTGATCAGGCTGGGACTGCTGGGACTGCTTTCCTCTTTGAAGATGAAAAAAATAGAAAAAGAGTGCAAGGCCTGGGTTACTTTCCATTCCTGCAAGTACCAGCTTTTCTGGGAACAGCAAAGGTGTGAAAGCAGCCTACGGAGCCTGCTGTCAGCAGTGGGTGTTGCAGCCCACAGCCAGTCAATAGTCATTAAGAGCCAAAAAGGCAGAGAAATCCGGCCAACTCAAGCAAACGATGCAGCAGCAAAAAAGAGCACAGAAATCTGGCATTTACTTCTTGCATCATGGTCTGCTTTTATTCTTGCTGTATTAAAACTGTCATGGCTTTATGCTAATGTGGTTTATTCCTAGCCAGTGATTATTATGTTTTGAATTAGCAGTGCTCTTGAGAGTATTTCTCTTGAAAAAGATCATGTCCTTCTGAGAAATGCGAATGAGAGGGGAAAAGAGCTGTTACTTGCATTAGCTTTGAGCTGTGTGTGTTTGGAGAGGATGAAGGGGAAGGGCCACGTTCATGACTGATGGCAAGCACAGCAGGACTCCCAGGGCACAGATTTGTGTGAGAGATGATACTGAAATTCAGGGAAGAGCAGTCAAAATATGGAAATGGTTTTGACACTGTGTTTGGCTTTCAATGAACCCACCCTTAGGGTAAATTCTTCTTGACTCCAGTGTTAGTTTTGCCTGACTGTGAATCCATACTCATTTATCCTGAGTGGGAAAAGCTTCCCCAGGGGCAGTGAGAGCGCAGCTGTTGTGGGACAGAGGGGATGCATGTTGCGACAGGAGAGTCTTTCAGGGATGTCAGTTCTCTAGGGAATGGCCTCAGCAGTTCCAGTTACGACCAGCTATCAAAGAGGAGTTGTTGCATCTCTGAGATTTAGTAACTAAGGCACCTAGGTAGCAGAAACCTTGGCTCATTGATGGGGAACAGGAGAGAGAGGGTGAGCAGCAGGAGGAATTTCAATATGTTTCAGCTGTGGGTTTATTAGCAGGAAGCCTAATTCAGCAGCAGTAGTGTGTTGTTCCCAGTTTGCTCAATGGGCTGCTTCCTGTATCCCCCAAGTAAGGCAGCAAAAACAATACCAGCCCATTGCTTTTAGCAGCATCTCTAAAAAATCACAGCAGTGGAACACAGTGGGATGCTTTAACTAGAGGCATCCTAAAAATGAAGGAAAGGGAAAAGGCAGGGTCCCTTTGGGTCTGCATATAGAGAACAGTGGTTTGTACCCTGTGCTGGTCTTCAAAGCCCAGCAGCTTCCAGTGAAATCAGAAGGTATAAGGAAATTTCTGATTTCCTCTTCTTTTTACTCTCTGGTTTGTTCAGCATAACCAGGCAATTCCCAGCCTCGATGCAGCATGTCCCAGCCCCTGTGCGGGACAGAGCCTTGTAATGGGTTCTTCAGATAAGAAGGTATTTCTCCAGGCAGTCAGGCACAAAGAGCTGGAACAGAATGAAATGCTTTGGCCGGATTATCTCTTTTTCCCTCTGCTTTAAATTGAAAAAAGATGTTCTCAGAAATGTCTGCCTTTCTCTCCATTACCCCAAAGAACAGCAGTTTTTAACCATTTCCACTGAAATAGCTGGGCTCTCTCTATCTTGTTGGCTATCTTTTTTTTCTCCAGAAAGTTACAGGCAGCTGTATCTGGCAGTGATATTTTACAGGAAAAAGAATTGTGTTGTCAATGTTCAAAACAAACAAAAAGAGCAATAACAAAATAGCCAACCTTCTTGCAAAAACCTGAGGGACTCAAATAGTATTTCAGCTGGAGTTCTGATAATGAAACCTTTGTGTTAGAAATGCTTCTCTGGCTGTTCCCATGAAAACCAACCTAAATTTGGCTCACTTAAAACCTCGGAAAATTTTCCATTGAGATACGTAAGAATTTGCCAGCCAGAATCTCTGGTGATTCTGTCAGTGTGGAGTGGGTGTGCTCATCCCTTCAGAGCAGGGTTCTTGCTGAGATTCCTGATCCCGTGTTCATGGCTGAGGTTAATACTTAATATACCAGAGATGAATAGAAACACTGGGCTGTTGTCTTCCGAGTGGGAGAGGTGACAGTATGTGTCCTGTCTTTATGAATCCAGACTGTGTGTGTAAATCAGTCAAATCAGTTTTACTGGCAGTGTCGCATTACAACACAAGCCTGGGAAATGGTATCCCTTAAAAAACCCCAAACAACACCAACAACTCTTTTTGAAAAAAATAACAAACCACACACAAAACCGCCTCCTATATGCTGACTGAATTACGCAGATGCCTTTTTTAGGGAGAGAGAATGCACGCTTCAGCCCAGGGCTGGGAGAGCTTATTCCATCCCTGGCAGCTGTGGCACATATAAATTCTCTGTCGTGGGTACTGGTACCTTCCCCCTGTCAGTGTTTTACTTTCTGGTCTTGACTCACCTGTCTCTGTGCCTCTAATCACAGGAATGTTGTTTCCCAGAACTGTCAGCATACATTTTTCCCTGCAAATATGAGGGGGGGATTATGCAGCGTAACTGTGCAAGTGACCATCCCTGGACTTCTCTTGCTCTCATCATGTGGGAAGAGTAATTTAAATTCTTCAGATTATTTTTTTTTTAGTATTGAGACTATCATGATGTATTACAGTGTAAAGGTTGCAGAAAGCTGAAATCTTATGGGCAGAAGCTCACTGAAAACATCTAACTCCCCCATGGGAATTCAGCCTTAAGAATGGACTCTATTAAAATTCTTCATGTCCCTGTGTTAAAGCTAAGTATAAGAACTGGAAGGGAATGAGTGGGCAGAAAAATGGGACTAGGCTTAGACCACTCACTGATGTATTACAGTGTAAAGGTTGCAGAAAGCTGAAATCTTATGGGCAGAAGCTCACTGAAAACATCTAACTCCCCCATGGGAATTCAGCCTTAAGAATGGACTCTATTAAAATTCTTCATGTCCCTGTGTTAAAGCTAAGTATAAGAACTGGAAGGGAATGAGTGGGCAGAAAAATGGGACTAGGCTTAGACCACTCACTGAAGACAATGATTCATGTCCCTGTGTTAAAGCTAAGTATAAGAACTGGAAGGGAATGAGTGGGCAGAAAAATGGGACTAGGCTTAGACCACTCACTGCAAGAAAGACAATGAGGTGCTGTAGTGTGTTCAGAGAAGGGCAACAGAGCTGGTGAAGGGTCTGGAGCACAAGTCCTATAAGGAGAAGTTGAGGGAACTGGAGTTGTTTAGTCTGGAGAAAAGGAGGTTCAGGGGAGACTTCATGGTTCTCTACAACTAGCCGAAAGGAGGTTATAGCCAGGTGTGGGGCAGTCTCTTCTCCCAGGTAACAAGTGACAGGACCAGTGTAAATGGCCTCAAGCGGCAGCAGTGGAGCTTCAGATTGGATATTAGGATTAATTTCTTCATGGGAAGGCTTGTAAAGCATTGGAACACAATGGCAGGGAGTCAATCCTCACCAGTTGAGGGATTTAAAAGGTGTGTAGGGACATGGTTTAAGGGTGGACTTGGCAGTACTGAGTTAATGGTTGGACTCCATGATCTTAGAGGTCTTTTCCATGCTAAGCAATTGTATGATTCTATGAATTTTTAGCACCCTGTCACTAGTAAATTCCTAATGCAACCCCTTTTGTAACCCAAGCAGTTTAATGGACATGGTAAAGATACCAAAGTGTCATTATCAGGGTCCTTGCTCTTGATAAATATCAGTTGATGGAAATGTCTCCTTCCATTGCAAAGAAAAAAATACTTGGAATATTTCATTTAAGCAGTACTGTACCTTTTTTTTGAGCTTTCTTTTCCCCAGTTTCTGTCACACTTCCCCAGGAGTGACTGATGGCTGGACTGCCAGCTGTTTAGAGAAATGTAGAACCATTTGTTCAAGATTATAACTTTGTAATAATCATAGAATGATTATTAATCCATATTCCTGTTGAATCTGATTGTTTATACTATTCTTTACAGTAGATTAGGGATTCCACTGAAAGAAGAAAATAATCTTAAAATAATTACTACAATTTTTTCCTTTTTTACTGTTGACCATCTGTATGGTTCTCTGATAATTTATTAAAGCATTTATTTCACTTTCCTTTTTTTTTTTTTTTTTATCTTTTTCTTGCTGAAACTACAGCTGAGGAAGTGGAAAGACTGGCTGCAATGCGTTCAGATTCTCTAGTACCTGGGACTCACACACCTCCAATCAGAAGAAGAAGCAAATTTGCCACTCTTGGGAGACTTTTTAAGCCATGGAAATGGAGGAAGAAGAAGAGTGAAAAATTTAAGCACACTTCAGCAGGTAATAGTTGCGGTGGGGTCGGTTTGTTAATATGTACATTTTTGCTCAACAAGGTTAAAAATTTGTAATTCAGACCCAATTTATATGTTTTAAAATGTTGAAGTTTGGCTTGGAGAGATCTGTCACATTCTAAAAGGTATTTTACTTTGTTGCCAACTTTTTTCTTTAAAAAAACCCAAAGCAACACATTGGGTGCACTACAATTAAAGCAGCAGCTCACCAAAGCGGTGTATTGAATTTCTGCTGCTAGAGCTGGAGGGTAACCCAGAAGAAACCTCATAGAATTGATTAGGCAGATTATGAATAAAGGAAATAGCAGTATAAAAAGATAACACCACATTCAAACAAGTGCAAGTGCTAATGGAGGAGTGAGAAAAATATATAACAAAGAAGTTGACTTCATGTTGAGTAACTTACATAACCAGAAATTACTCCTTCCATTGGGCAGGAAAGATGTGTCACTTGTTTTCTGAGAAAAACAAATCTCAATTCCTGCCACAACCCTCCCTCTGCCACTGCTCTCTAACATTCCTAGGTCAAGAGCCTTTTTAATTTTATTTTTAAAAAAGTATGGAAATCTGCAAAAATGTGGCTTTATATTGTAAATTGGCCTGAGCAAAAATCACAGATCTGGGCACTGATGCATGTGGTGGAAGCTTTGTGATCAATTTAGAAGGTTTCTTTGTTCTTTCATGATGACTAATAATTACTACATGTGGTTTTGCAAGTCTTGAGCCAGGATTGTCTGTGAGAAAACGTGAATTTTCTCCTGCTTTCTTACTCTTCTCACTAGAACTAGAAAGTGAGCAGTGACAATCTTGCTCCTTCAAGTGCCGGAGGAGGCTTGAGTTGCAGCCCAGTCGTTTTCTGCCCTGTTTATTGCACAGTGGAAGCTTTCAGGCAGGACTTGGCTGTACCTTCTGGCACCCCGAATCCCATAATTGGGCAAGAAGTCTCATTTAACTGAGTGCAAATTCTTGCATGAAGTTAAATGCAGAATAAGAGTTTTCAGGGTTTATACCTGAAGGCGTTCTTCACTGTGTGCTGTTTTGGCTGCTTTCTGATTTGTCAGCCAAAAACTAATGAACTGGAATAGATGACTGTATTACTCTGAGTGATGATCGTATTTTTCAGCCTGACAGCTGAGAAGCTATTGTCACCAAAAATGACATGTTTCTGCAAAACAAAAGGCTTGTCTTTCATGTTCTGTATCAGTCATAACCATAGTGCAGTGTAGCAGGATTTCCATGAAAACCGAATAGCTCCTATGGATGTGTGGACACTGTGGTGGCTCCTACTTTGAAGCTAGTTTCAGCATGCTGGGTTAGTTGGACAGCTAGGAGAATAACCACAGCCATTCAGGAGGTACCATGGGTAGCCAAAGCCTGCCTACTATTTATTTTTATGGTCTATCTAGATCCAGGAGGTGAAGCTGAGACGCATACTGCTGTGGTTAGACTGACTAGTTTGAAGCTGAATTGAATATGCCTACATAGTCTGCTCTGAGCATTATAAGAAGTGTTGCGTAGATTTGCCCCATTACCAAAATATTTGGAAAGTACACAGTGATCAAAACCAGAGTAAAAACATGTATTTCCTCTCTCAGATGAATAGGAAGCTTTACCACACATGCCAGCATATCTTCTTCCCCAGGAAGAAGGACTTCAGTGTCTAAAAACTAATTTGAAAGCTGGGTCTGCAGGTATGTTTGTCAATAGCAGTACTGAGTTTGGTCTTGGTTGAATCCAAAACCTTTCCTGTTTTTTAAGAAAAATTTCCATTTCTAATAAGTGAGCAGTATCCTGCAGCTGCTCTGCAAAATTGATATTCCTGTCAGCTCCCCTGCTACTAACTGCAGCAAAATTGACAAGGATGTCAAATTTGTTGAGCACCCTGCAGAAGGCAGGGGGATAGATTTACTTCTGGACTGTGCAAGAGCTAGGGCCCCACAGTTTCCATCATGCCCAGCCCTGGGAAATGGGAATCCACCAGCACCCCACCTGACTTCCCTTGACAATGCTGGAGTTAAGCAGCATTGGTTGTACCTAGGATGTGTAGTACAAAAGATTTTACACAGAGAAAACTAGCATTTTTCTGCCAGCATTTCAATGACTTCTTGTCTAATACCTCTGATCTCACTGAGAAAATATATTTAATCTTTATAATAAATCAAAGGACAAGCTTGTGAGATGGCATAATGAGAGCCAGTGTGAAATTTCGTAATACAGGCTTATTTTCTTCTAGTGCACAATAAAAGTGACACTTGAAAAAAAAATATTCCCATTAGTGTCCTGCAGACATGCATCCAAGCTTTCCCACCTGCACAGAACATCAGTAATTATCAAAAAAATAAATACTAATACAAGTATTTTATTAGGCTCTTATTTCCTGCAAAAATGTATCAATTATTATTAATGTCAAAAGTGGTAAGGCTCAAAACACATAGCTTTGACTGATGAAACTTCCTCTGGAATTAATGGGAGGTTTTTTCTGGAAGAGGACAGGAGGAAAGAGAGTCAGGCTGATATTTAAGGTTGAAAGGTTGCCTTTTTCTTGGTATTTCCAAGTGCTAACATTTTGTATCCGTATCTTTATCAGACTAAAAGCTCTGATAATTTATTCAGAGATGAATGTTTTAAAATATAGTTCAGCAGTCAATGGGCAAAAAAACCTTTTAGGTGTAGGAAAAGTTATTTTCTGACACCTGGTAATTGCATAAGGTGAGACAGAAAATAGGTAATTTGATTGATGGAGGACCTTAATGCTATGCTTATTATATATGGCTCCTCTCAGCACATCAATACTCAAATCGTGATGTTTGAGCATAACAAGTCCCACATCCTCCATCTTCATTATTGTATTATCGCTGACACGCCGAAGGTTAAAAGGATGCACGTGTTTCATGGAATTTATATATTTATAGGTTACGTTGGTTTTTCATACCCCTGTAGTGACTCTGCAGAAGGGTCCTAAGTCTTACATTGCCTTGGTGCTGGCTTAAGTCACGAGGATGAAAGTCATGGGTTTTGATGCAGCGTTCTAATGCCTTTGCCTTGCAGTTGGTTTGCCTGTGAGCATCATCACTAGGTACTTAGTAGAGCAGCTAGAGCAAGTAGAAAAGATGATGCTGTGGGATGGTCTGTTGTTGCATTTGGTAAGTGCCAGATGAGCCCCATCTGGGGTTTGATTTGATTGACCTCTTCTGCTGGAAGGTAGTGTGTTAAGGAGGTTGTAAAGGGCATGCACTGTGAGTGACAGACGGGCTCCAGCTATGGACAGGCTCAATCTCAGAGCAAACAGGAAGGGAGATTATAGTGCATGAGGGATTCCAGTGTGCAGGAACAGAAGCAAGTTATTTCTCACAGTAATTCTCCTCCTGGACAAAAATGAAGTTCCCCCAGCACAGAGTGTTTTTCAGTGTCAGGATTGCTAACCATTTTATCACAGAAGGTCCTATTGGAAGTTCTCTGATGGATGAGGAAACTCTCACAGTACAATATAAACACTTGTGACAGTGAAGTTCTATATACAGGGAGTTAGACAAAGAAATCAAACCCAGTCACGGTGTTACTCATGCTAGAGTCAAGAGCATGGTGTGTGGTTTTTTAGCTGATCTGAAATTTCATCTTGCACAGAAGTGTGGAAACCTTTAATTCCATGGAAGGTGGAGGCCCCCTCACCACAATGGGAAGTATGATAAAGCTGACAACTCTGCCTTTGGCAGAACAGGCAAACTTCTAAATGGCAAAATTCTATCAGTTGAAAGGATGGTGTCTTACAGCTGAAAAGGAGCAGTCTCACTTATGGCAGAAGAAGCCAGGAAGAAACAGAGAATTTTCTTTTCCTGAGCACATTTCCTTGGCTGAATGTAGCTGGGGTGGCTCCAGCAGGCTGCACAAGGTTTTTAAATCCACAATGGGTTCTTTGGGAACCAGCAAAGCAGATAGCAAGAGAGAAAGCTGACAGTCTCCTCAGCCAGACCTTTGTCATTTATTTTAATACCTTGATCCTGCTCTGCTTGCCTTGCTGTGAATTTGAAAAACATTCCTGGGTGTGTTGTTGTTTTATTGCAGTGCTGTATGCATGCTGGTGAAATGTCATTTCCTGGCGATGTTTTGGAGAAGGAAGTGCTTCTGAAATAAAGAAGCTTCAGGGAAGATAGATTTTGTGCTTACTTGAAATATTATTGAAGTTTTTTATCACTGCTTTCATCAAGAGCCAACTGTTTGCAGCCTTTCAGAAAAAAAAGAGGTATTTCAGCTGCTTAGCTGCTTGCAGGAGTTTGAATAGAGAAAAATGTCTTGTTTTGTCATTTCCCATTTCTGGTGACCTTCATTTTAAAGAATTGGTGTGTCCATCTTCCCCCATCCTTGCTCCCTGAATTGCAGCGCTCAGGCAAAAGGGAGGAGCAAGCACATAACTTGTACTTGAAGGAAACTGGTTGGAATGAGTATAGGAAGGCAGTGGATGGTGAGAAATTAAGGGATGCAGAGAAAGCTCAGCTGTAAATAGGAGAGGCAAAGGATTCAGCAATGTTTGGGTCAGGTACATTAGGCCTCCTGTACGATGAGCAGAGAAAGACCTGTGAGAAGAAAGCTCCAGAGAAAAGAGAAATCTTTTGAATGCAGCCTTTCCTCCTAGGTACTTTGAAACCTCCTTTCATTCATGTCCCAGATGCCCTTCCTAGAAATATTTACAACTTCTTCCACTGGGCAATGATCATGGATCAGTCTTATGGTGCCACAGCTCCCATACCCAAAACCAGTGGGTGAGCTAGCGAGCCGTGTCCTGTTCTGTGACCAAAGAAAGACAGGGCAGTGACTTCCTAGCCTCATGATTGAAGTGCTCTCCTGAGAATAGGGAAGACCTGCTCCAACTTCATTTAAAGCTTCATTCTGTTACTGTAAAGTTGTAGAGCCTGGTGATCACGAACGTGTCCAAGGTGTAGGACCTGGGAGTTGGAAAGGATGAAGACTGGGGTTGAAGTAGACCAGGATATC